TTTATTCTTTTATAAAGTTAATTGCGCTGGCCAAAAGATGAAACTGACTATTAGTTAAGTATTGCTCGGCAGTATGTTAAGCTAATGGGATTTATCCCTCCTCTTGCGAATATTTGAACCGTAGACGTCCACACTCTGTGGCCTGCGGGGATTCGGTGTTTTGAGGTGTTGGTGAATTTATTCAAATTTTGTTTAATGGGATCAATATTTGATGTATAAATTCAAAAATACTTGACTGAGTAAGACTATGTTTGCATGATCCCAGGAATTCAAAATGTCTTTCAATCCGTTGTCCGTAATTCTCAAAGAAAACAAACTTGTTGGTCCCAATTATATTGACTCGAAAAGGAACTTGGATATAGTTGTAACACCCCGCTTTTCGTACATTGAATTTCTAGAATAAATTTTTCTTTCTATAAAACTTTTGAAAACTTTACTTGGAACTCAGGGTGCTACTCACTTTGAAAAACTTTTCATACATGATCTTTTCATAAACATTAAAACTTTTCATGAACATAAACATTTCATACATGAACATTCATTGCGTTGCCTTGAGAACTTACACTTTAACTTGACTTGCATGAACCATGACTTATTTCGTAAAATAAACTTTGCATAGCGGAAGCTTTTAAAACATAAGTATCATAAACATATAAACATGTGACCACCCTCGCCATCGCTCCATGCCAGCTCGCCAAAACCTGGGTGTCGAAAACAAATGGGGTGAGCATTTCCACTTACTCCGTGAGAGATCCCTCTACGTTATCATCCTAATCAACTATAAAGCATGAAATCGTTTTCGTATACTCCACATAATCATGAGCTCTCGACGAGTGGTGACCCACAAGTCGAAAGAATTTCTTGCTTCTACAACACTATTAGACAACTAAACACTAGAGTCTTTGCATGCAGGCGATTACATTCTTGTCACACTCCCACCACTCATCAAACTTCTTATACCACTTTAGGGTGATGGAAGAACAATGCCTCTCGCAGATGGCACGGCCAGATAGGCTTGATAAGAGTACCTTTCAATAGGTTGAAGGAAGATAGCCTTTCACTAGACTCCGTACAGTCTTATCGACGGGGACAACCGTTCGAAGAGTGCACCAACGAAGGTTACACATAATCACTTACACCCTCTAACCCTAGCACTTAGCTACCCTCTAGAGTTATAGCCCATGAACCTTGGTACTGCAACAATCGACTTGCTCGAATGTTGGAACATTGTATAAACATGGGTACTATGCAAGCTACTTAACTTCATTCATAGCATAGATAATTAAAGAGGATTAATAAAGTAGAACTTCCCCCACCTTTTCAGTAGAATGCTCGGCTTAGACTTGAACTTGACTTTGAAAGAAACTCGAGGGCTCGACTCCTCGTAAAACTACATTCATTGGGGTCATGTCTTAGTGTCTTAACATAACACTTATTCTTATACTTATACTTATACTTATACTTATAATCATACATAAGCTTTAGAAAAACTTTGCTCGCTTGGCTTCGCCTTGCTTGCTTTCTTTTGAAAACATTCTTATTTTAAAGCATTTGGACAATTGAACTCTTAGCTTGCTTGCTTACGGATACTATTCTAATCATCTAAGGTTCATCATGATCTCACTAAATGCTTTAAAACTCATACATGTCACATAAGCATGCTTACTAAACACAAGACTCACTTAAACAATTACACCTAGCCCTTTGACAAAACTTAACACGTGCTGTATTTTTTAAACGAGCATATCTTTCAACATACAAGTCGCATTAATATGATTCAAGTCTCATATTGCTCCTAAGACATGGTACTACAACTTCCATTTAGCACTTAAAAGCAAATAAGGTCATATACATGGTCCAAAACCAGCAAACATTCAAAGCTTAAATGCTGTCCAGAAATTTAAAATAAATTCATGCGCAGTTTTACGAAAACAGGTATCATTCACTACTCGGACCATATTTTTGCTTGATTTTAGAACCACATGAAAGATAACACATAGAACTACAATTTCAATGAAGACTTGAGGTTCATTTGAGCACATTATCATATCATAAACACACAAAACATCCA